AAAAAAAAAAAAAAAAAAAAAAACAAACAAACAAACAAACAAACAAACAAACACGTCAAGCTGATTCAGATTAAATCCTATCTACTAAAATTTGGGATTAGGATTGGTGAGTTTTAACTTTTTTTGGGCCCATAATTGACCATACTAATAGTCTATCAGGAATTGGAGTTGGTCGTTGGTAGAACTGGGATTATGATTTGAATTGAGGATGGAATAGAATTGTGATCAAATATGAGCCAAGACCAAACTAACCCTTGCCCCTTGATTTTGCAAGAGACTAAGACCATTGTTTTGGTCTTGAATCGAGCTCAATTCAGCTTGCAAGTCGAACAAATATAAAATGTAAATAAAATCTTGACACATAAATAAAATAAAAATTAAAGTTCCTTCTCGCTTACTCAATGTTATTGGATTCTGAGTTAAAACTGTTCACCTCTGTAAGTAATGTGTTCGAGCCCTATGAAATTCATTTTCTCCCTATCCTATATATACCTATAAATAATGCCAAAATTGTTTTAAAAAAATAAACAGTGCTATGGGCACTCGCCTCTTGCACTCTCCCGCCGACACTTCCCCTTTCATTGGGCCACGTAAGCTTTTTTAAGCCCTCAATGCAACTTCTTACGACCGAAAGTAACGTGGTCCAATAAAAGTGAAAGTGTCTGCCGGAGAGTGCATAAGGCGAGTGCCCCTAGCATTGCTCTTTTACAATATATTTTGATTGAGGGGAAAAGAGGTGGAGAGGACGAAAAAGGAAAAAAATGATTTTCATTCAAACAAATGATGCTATAGATGAAAATCATTTTCCTTATTTCCCTTTTCCTCCAAGGAGCAAACACCTGTTAATTGAGCAAATCTTGAAAGTAGAAAGATGCCTTTCTTCTTCTTCTTTTTTTTTTTTTTCACCTTCGTGTGTCTTTAGGTTAATATTTGTATATATTAAAATTAAATTTTTTTAACAATATTAAAAGACACACTCTCACATCAATTTTATGTTTTTTTTTTAACCATTTAAAATTTAAAGATGAGAGAATTTTTCACAATGTTGACAGAGTTTGAAATCTCAACCAACTAATTTAAGTGTCTTGAAAATTGAAGTAAACCCCTTGAATTTGAAATTTGGTTCTATTAATTTTATGTATTTAAAATTTAATTTTTTTAAAGTAATAATTTTAAAATTTAGACTCAAATTAAAAAAAAAAAAAAACTTATATATTGATGAATCGGGTCCCATAACGTTGAAAATGCAGTGCTTCGAACATTAAAATCATTGAACCTGAGTACTTTGGATCTTAAAAAACAGCTTTTCAACTTTGCACTAATCACAATATTTCAAGGAGGAAAAAAAAAAAAAAAAGGGAAACTTTGTAGTTTGCACTAACCACAAATTTATGCTGCACATCTAACAAACTGAAGTGAAACTTAATATGCAAAGAGCAGAGTAACATCTTCATTCCACTACCTGTCTCTACTTATTCTTTGTAGCATTTTCCGAGGATCCTGCCCTTTCCTGGAATTCTCTTCACCTCTTGTTTCTATGCCCTTCCCTGATGACTCTACTTCCTCTATTTCACCTCTCAACATCTTTCTCTCCAATCTCTTCATTTTTTGCTCATCTGTTTCTGAAGCTTTGACCCTTCTGGTGGCTTCATCTCTGCTGCTCTTTTCATCTCCCCCCAAATGTAGCTTGTTCATGTCATGTTCAGGTACTGCTATCTGTTTTTCTCTGGACATTGTCTCTGTGGCACCCGGTTGTATGTTACCCCTTGTCCTGGAACTGCCTTCCTGTTCAAAGAACAGGACTTGCACCACTGTTCTCAGTGGTAGCCTCTCATTCTTCACGGCATGGGCACGGACCTCAGGGGACAGTTTCCGGCAGTCTAAGATTCTGCAGAGGCGTTTCTTCTCTGCTTTGCTTATATCTGGATGCTCCTGCCCAACCCATATAGGAATTAGGAAACTGAAATCAGTTATTCAAGACTCCATAGATTAGACATTGAGAAAATATGGGATTCAACAGGTTACTCATACCTTGAGGTAGATATTAATTGCCTTGTAAAGGCTGTCATGATCTTGTCTTGCAATATCTGGTAAAGCCTCAGCTAAAGAAACTAGTTTTTGCACTGGCAACTCAGCATCCTTTGCAACCACTTGAAGGTAGGAATCTATGAGCTTTCCCACATTTCTGATTGATTTAAGAAAGGGACTGCTTTCTAGAGGCGCAGGGGACTGTCTCCTCCATACTATTGAATAGCCCTCTAGTACTGCTGCCACTAAGTCAGTGTCATATATGTGCTGACCAGAGGAGGATTGTGAAGGCAACAGCAAGTCCCCAACGGTTGCCTCCTCCAATTTCAGACCAGCTCTCCTTACAAGCTCAGTCTTTACTACTGTGGATGCTCCTAGATAGTTGGCGATGCTAAGGAGTCTTAACAAGAACCCAACTGAGACTGATCCCCTGTCTGATGGAATCATGTTGAGAATGGACTCTAGAATCCTTAGCTTCCTTGCCAGATATGTGCCAGTCTGAGCCTCTGAACTCTCAGGAGCTCCACCTTTTGTGGTATCAGGTAACCAGCGACAGGCGTAAACGTGCAAAGCTTCCCCGATGAGCTGTGGTGGATGAATGTATGTTGATTTGACAGCGTTAACTATGCAGCGGAACAGGTCTATATCTAGATCAGAAATGTCCTCCGTCCACCAATCCTTTGGAACAGACTGGTGGCGTTTTTTGTACCCTGGTCTGGTATAAGTGAAGGACCATGATACCTGCATCAAGTTATCATTTTTAAAGCAAACAAAGATTTGAGAAAGAAGATGTATGTCATAAAAGTTCCTAACAGAAGAAGAAAAATAGATGTGCAACCTGTGCTGGAGATGTGAGGATTTTCTCCACAATTGAATCTATGCACTTTTTAGTAATTCCAAGGTTCTCTGACCACTCAGGTAACTTAACAGTGGTTTGTAGTGTGGCAATGGAGTCTTTCCAACCCTCCAGAACACATGAATTGAAGAAAGCTTCAAGTTTTAAAACAAAATTTCCCTTCTCAATTGATTCAGTCATTCTAAGGAACTTAGCAGCACAAAATGCAGGCACAACGTTATGGGCACTAAGGTTGATAGTTATCCCGTAGCAAAATTTAGCACAAAGTTCAAAAGCTTCTTCACCACCGGGGATGTCATGAAGGTTTATTGTTATATTGTCAGAATCATCAGAACAAAGCTGTTGAAGCATGCCACATTTTGGAAGAAGTGAAAACTGCAACTAAGATAGCAAAATTAAGAACAGTCCTTTAAGTCATCTCTACAAAGTACAAATTAAAAATAATCCCAACTGTCATCCTAGAGCTAGCATATTTTTCGAGTGCAGCAACTAGCAAGTAAAATGATTTCCTGGTTCTTATTGTGTTCTACATACGTGAAACATGGATGCTGAATCTGCATCTCTCTGGATCTGTACTATGTATCAATTTTTCTGAAATGGTGCTAAATCCTAGATCTAAATGCAAACTATGCCTGAAATTAACCATTCGAGGCAAATTGGTTTGCTATCAAATCATACCTTATGCAGAAGATATGTGATGTTGTTGATGTTTATTGTAAGATCACTTGGCAAATCTGAAATCACAGTCCTGCGTATCCATTACCAACTCTATTAGACAAAACTTGTATGCCAACTAATCAGCAAAATGAGGTTGATGACATATCCCATACCTTGTAGCCTCTTCTGTGTAGAATGTATCTGGCTTAGTCCCAATTTTCATAAATTTCATTTTTGCTTGCTCAATTCAGTAACTGATCTTTACTTTGGCACACAGAAGAAGACGGTTCCAGGTATTATCTAAACAAATTCATGATGTATTCATTATATTAGTACAGCACCTCCAAAAATAAAATCAAAGATGCCATGCCCTGAACTAGAATTGCCCATAGCACAAACAACTAATCACCTGATTCTAAGGAAAAGAGAGGCACATGCATCCAAAATCAACTCAGAAAAACACTTACTTTCCTGTTTTTGCTCTGAAATTAGCTGGTGGATGGTCGAACGTTACAGAATATTTGACCCAGTTGGCTCCTTCGTTTAAATATTAAATAAATTAGATTATCAGAAATTCAGAAAAAAAAATAATATTTATGCTAAGAAAAAGAAAATATTTTCACTCACCAATAAGTTTTAAAAATAATTATTTCTTAACATCCATGTATTTTTTCAATTCTGATGGAGAGAATTAAAAGGAAAAAAAAATGAAAAATGAAAAGAGAGAGAACTGTTAAGAAGCTGCAAGAACCCAGGTCGGAAAATAAATAAATAAATAAATAGACTAAAAAAAGAGGAGTTTTGAGGAGATGTACACTTACAGGTGAAGGATCTCTGAGGCAAAAGGGTGTTCAAGTAGCTGCGAGAGTAGAATTAAAATGTTTGAATGAATGAAGTGCACGGTCATGTAGTTCAGTATCACAGATGTTGAAGAAAAAAAATAAACTATAAACAAAAAAGGTGGAAAAAAGAAATTGTAAGGGGAGGGGAGGAGAAGGCTGAATGGTCAAAGGGTGATGATCCAGCATCATTCTACAGCCTGAGTTTGTGAAAGAACAATGGAAAATGCAATGCATTGTTCAGGTCAAATTGAGAAGTAGGCCTATAATCACCTCAACTTTTCTCCAGCAAGGGGCCCCATCGTATTCAGTGTTTCCTGTACATAAACCAACCCTACAAGCCCTTTATCAAGGATGAAGATGTCTTCAACTGCAAAACGAAAAGGAAAAATTAAACTTTTTGCTGTCAAGCACTGCTAGAGATCCAGAGAGGGGCCCCAAGAAGGGTCTTGACTCTTGTAAAAACAGAAGCTCTCTCCAACTTTTACAGTTTCTGGTAAAGCCGGAGACGAAGCAACTATGTTTCTTAACTCTCTTAAACATACCTTGGTTAGTTTAACTATAACATAGACACCCTCACTGACTTACATGCGGCTTGAGTTTATGCACGTCCTGACACATGTTAACAGCAAGAAAATCAGCATCCTGAGTTGCAGTTACTGATTACCTCACCCTCTTCGTCATCACCTGCTGTGGAGACAAACTTTTTGCCTCTACTACATAAATATCTCTCTCTTTGTGTTGGATTTTCATATATTTCATTTTCAAGGAAAATTAAACCAATAGATAGGCATCTCTTTGGATTTATTCCGATATCATTATCTAACATAACATCCTAATTGTTCTCTTAAGAGATAAAAATAATAGGAGTAGGCCATTTTGAAAATTAAGCTGTATAAAATCTCATACACAAATGAAAAGGCCTGTGTATGGCTTTTGTTCTTATGTAAGTTAATTACTTAATTAATTATTGACTCAAGTATATAAACTCAATGAAAGAAAGTTGATCATGGAATAAACTTTTACGTATCTAACTAATTCGGTCATGTTTGTCGTGTTTCAAATGATTAATTTTCTTCTCCAGAAAGCAGGGACGACGAGGTATTTCTATATTCATGATTGTTTGTTTGTCGGTTTAGGCAGCAAAGGTGATTAATTCGATTAAAAAGATCCAATAGTTGAATTAAGTTTTAGAAAATAATGTTGCAATAGTTTAGAGTTGCCAAATTTCTAGTAATAAGAAATATGTCCATGCATCTGTTTGAAAAAGATGCATCATATCAGGAAAAGGCAATCTGAATTCAACAATACTAGAAGAGGATGAATAGGAAGTGAAATGCAGCCGTAAAGGAGGATAAAGTGTTTAAAAATGAGAAGAAAGTTTAGACACTAATGCTCTGTGGACGTCATAGAGGATCCCACATTAGTGCTAACAACCGTCCTATAATTTGGAGCTAATGGATATACTTAAAGTTGTGAATTAATATAAGGTTTCCTAATTAATTAGGAGTGATTAGGTTTAGAAATTTCTATTAATGAAGAGAAACAAACATAGTGGTAACCAAAGGGAAAGTGATTATGCATTGATAGAAAGGATATGCACATGCAACCAGTGGCTAAGGTTTTTTCTGACGTTGCTATCACACATGCTTTAAAATTAGAATGGCAAGGTGTAGACTTTTGATTTTTGACAAAATGGGAAAAACATAAAAATAAAAACAAAAATGGCAGTATCATTATTTATTTATGTAAATGCAGGTGGCAGTAACTTTTTCCATATGCTGATCAGTGATTGGCAGAAACATTACCTAGTGTCTGTGCTTTGGCAGGCAAATGGAGGTGCTGATGAAGCTGAGCATCCAATACTTGAAGAAAGGGGTCCTTGGAGTATCTCTTCCAAACTGGAAAATGAAAACAACCTTTTAAAAAGAGATCCTAACATCATGAACATCAACAATCGCAATATATGTTGCTTTTGAACAGCCTTACTCTGCCTTCACATATATCAAATGCGTCTCAGAATTAGATAGCTTGATGCCATCTGCTGTGGCAGTTAGCTGCTTTCTTTAACATTCCTTTCTGAAATTGATAAAGAGGTGTTCAGTAAGCCCACTTACATATGTGTGCGACTATTTTCCTGTTGTCCTTATTCTCTGAGGAATTTTTTCAAACAAGAAGCCTACACTATTTACTGTGAAGTTTCTCATTCACATTTTCTTACCTCTCTGGCAGCATATAACAGTGTATGTGTGAAAAAGCAGGTTAAAGGGTTTTGGTTTTGGGTGGGAAACAACAATAACAAGCCAAAGGAGATTCCTATCAATCAAATCATCTGAACTAATTAACATAATCCCACTATGCAGCATTAATGGATCGATAGTCGTGGCTCCTATCAACTCAACTAATGCAATTAAAAGATGCAAAAGAAATTAGAACAGAAACAGTTGTTTTATAACATCACTAATATCGAGAAAAAGAACCATACTTACATGTAGCTGAAATGAGCAAGCTTGACTGGAACACCTGAAAGCTGCAAGAATGAAAAGGCACCACTTTCTGAACCCAGAAAGAATAAATATATGTATAAATTATCAATGAATATGAATTATAGATGGAATGGTTTTATGCATGTATGTGTAAATTGGAATGAAAGTGAAGGAGGGAAGAAGAAAGAGAGAAAGATGGTGATGGCTTTTGAGTTAGAGTGAAGTGAATTAGCCAGGGAGACACCGCCACCAACTAAAGAAAAAGGTGAGAGCAAAGAAGACTTTAGGTTAGGAGAAAGAGAGAAAGTGGTTGGATGGGATTAGTCAACATAGTAATGTAATCAAAAGCAAGCCATGATATGCTGCTTCAAGAGAAAAGAGCAGAATAAAGCGAAATTAAGGAGGAGTCCCATCTTTGTTTATGAATTATGAATTATGATCCCACAGCCACAGCCTACAGGCTACAGGCTACAGGGCAGAGGAGAGGCTCAATTCAAGTGCTGCAAGGGAGAGCGGAGTCTGGACATGGTGGCGTAATGCAATGTAATGTAATGCGTGTGATTTTTGACTTAATGGGCCAAAAAGTATGCAATGGCTAGTGCAAGTGGACTCAAATGAAATAAAAGAGGAAGCTTGGGACCATGGAGACTGTATTAAAGGAAAGATCCCCATTGCTCATGATGCTAACCCCCACTATATGTAGTATGTAGGTATATTCTGATTTGCATGTCGGCCACGTGTCTCGTCGGCTACCGTTGGCTCTCCTGTGCCTCTATCAGATTTTCTTCAGATTGTGATTCCTTTGCCCTGCTTTCGGAGGCCAAACACAGACAACCATCTCTCTCTCAGTCACTCTGTGTTCTGTCCTGAAATTTGATGCGTCTGAGGCTACCCTTCGTCATATTTCTGGTGATATTGCTGTTCTTCAATTTGCTGCAATGTAATCGTGCTATTATCAACCGTCCCCTTTGACACACACGCTCTTGGGTTGGGTCCACCCCTATCCCTTTCCCTATCCCTTCAATCCCTTCTATGCTTGCTTTGTTATCCTTTTACATGCATTTTTCAAATTAAGAAAACCCAACCCATGTCCTATAATCTACCCTTGATCATGATCATTATAACATGATCATCGTGATGGGTATCATTCTGATCCACTACTACTACTTTTTTAAGTTTCTAATTGGATTTTGTTATAATTGTGAGGAACCTACACCTAAATCCATCTATGTGCCTTTTATGTGATTATGCTGATCCGATTATCTTTCCTTATCCTATCATCTCCCACCTCATTAATTATTCTGGAACATAAGGCTCTGATAAATTGCCTTGTCCCTTTCGCATTTAAGTCTTCATTGACAGTTCCATTAGAATAACTAACAGATTAAAAGAGGAAGTAATCTGCATGAGAAGACTCATCTTCACCATAGACATGATAGAATATGCAATACATAGCACAATCAATGAACAGAAGACCTAGATTTCAATGCTGGGAAACCCAAAGCCTAAGGGCTAGGATTGTGGCAATAGTCAATCTTCCACTCAATGCACTTGGGCCTACAACGCTTCCACCTGCAGTCAATTTTAAAGTTGCTTCCACCACACTGGTTCTGTTTCATTTTCATGCTTCTGCCTTTGCATCTGGCATGCACACATGTTTCTTTGTTTAGGTAATGAATCTTTTCAGGGAATCCCTAAATCCTTGTCATGGAAATAGAAGTTCAAGCTGAGAATTATTGCAAGCTCCACTTTACTAAGAAGAGGAAAAGGGTCCACCATTTGGTTTGGAACCTGTCTGGTCTAAGCCTACTCTGGATTCTGGAAATCTAACTTCTACCACTACATATACCATAATTTCATGATCGACATATGAATAAACTAAACAGTGAATATCGTCCCTTCTCAGTCCCAGTTAAAAAATGATATGGTATAAAAAGGCCCATAAAACTTGCAATCGAAACCAAAGTTCTTGGTTTTTCTAAAGTGAACCAGATTTAATATTTCTTAGAGATTGAAGCGGTGAAGCTTACTCATGACAGACGCTATCTCTTCACAAATTTTCCCTGCAGGTCCATGGTGAGAACACACCACCGCTAGACCTTAGAGGCACAGCAAAACATCTTTAAACAATTACTTCTCAAGTACCAAAATCAAACCCCTGAAAGAATGGAGGAAAAAAAAAAAAAAAACATAAAACTTGCAAGAAACAAGAAGCATGATCAGAGATGCTTACAGGCGCCTACCATATCTAACTGATTCATTACGAGCTCCACAACTTGTAAGCAATCAAACAGTTAAATTAAAGGCCAAGACACTAATAGATCTATGTTATCAGCTATAAATCCTTTCTATTCCTTCCAGGATGAACATGAGTTTAAAAACCATAAATCTCAGGTTACCTTCAGTTTTACAAAAAAGAAAAAAAAGAAAAAAAAGAAAAAAAAAAGCACTAAATTACAACAAAAATTTCCCAAACCCGAAGGAAACAACAGCTTGTTATGTCCAGAAAAGATTCGCCCCTCTCTGATTTTCTGTCATTTTGTCCAACCCAAGCAAAAGGTCTAATGCATGTTGCACGACCTGTTTAGTGCATTTTGATTGATTAGTCACCAAATAAATCGTCATCATTTTCATCCTCACGGTAGGTGGAAATATTTCCAGATTTTCCAGTTGATGGGCTTTCAGTCTTCCCTGGGGAATCTCTAGTTGGAGATGGTGGTTTACCAGTAGAAGTAGGAGAGACAGATGCCCAGGAAGTACCCACTTTACCAGAAAAAGATTCTCCATACAGATCATCATAAATCCCGCCTTTTGGAGCATTTTTGACCTTATTAAAGACCTCTTTTAGTTTGTCAGTAACATCTTTCTGGAAAGCCTTTTCTTCCTTAACAGATGACTGCTCCTTACCCTTGGGAATAATTGTTGTTTGTACAAGAGATTCATATTTTCCAACAAGACTTCCTTCTTTCACACCTATGGGTCCAGGTTCGGTTTCCACATCTGCACCATCTGAAACCCCTACAACCTCAACCAGCTCTCCACCAGCATGATCCTTGAATGTCACTCTTAGTTTCCTCGTTCTCTTTCTCGCTCTTTCAGAGTGATTGGTGTCATCTCTGCCTGATGAACTGCCAGACTCACTTGATTTTGACAGGTCAGACTTGCCAAGACCATAACGATTTAGAAGTGTGTTATATGCCACAACAGCCTCTTCATCAGAAGGATCAGGAGGGGAAGGTAGAGTTATCTCTGTGGGGGGTGGAGGGCGAGGAAACAAAGCTGCATTGTTCTTCCTCAATATGTAAGTTCTTGTTGATGCAGCAAACCGCAAAGACTGCCCCACTTCAAGCTCAACAGGAGTGTCTTTTGTCAACCTCTCGTTTGCAACAAATGTTCCGTGTGCTGATCCCAAATCAATCACATATATGCTGTCCAAGTAATATGAACTTGTAAACTTCAAGAACGTTTGAGCTAGAAAATTCCAAATCAAACCAATAAAAAAAAAACAAAACGAAAAAAAGAAAGAAAAGAAAAGGAAAAAAAGAAAAGAAAAGAAAAGAAGAAAAAAGGGATCATGTTGCCTTTAAAACTAACACATAGCAGAATAAGATCATCAATTTGGACCCAAGATCATCAATTTGGACCCAATTCTGCTAATGACTCAACTCCAAATTGAAATCCATGACTTAAAATAAAACAAATTATCTTAAATGTCAAATAGCAAATCAATTCAACCAACATAATCCAGAGCAGCAACACTGAGAGTATGGCAGAAGTTCTTTTTAATGTTTATCTTTTCTAAAACTAATCAATATATACCTGATGCTCCTAACCTACACAATCATCAGCCAACACAAAAACAAGTAGAATAATTAAAGTACAAGAAAGTAAAGCTCCAGTTAAAGATTAATAGAAACAGAAGTTGCCAGAAGTCTAACCTCCCATTCTTGTGGGGAATGACAGCTGCATGCTGGCGTGAAACAGATTGATGATCAAGAACAAAATCACAAGTATGGAATTGCCTTCCAAAGATGTTCCTACGTCTATCAATATTAATCCGATCAAGCACCTCACCATCCTTCAAAACTTCAAGGTAAAAAACACCTACACGAGGCTCAATAGCCCAATCAGGCGGCTGCCAAGTAGACTGCCCTTCTCCAACCTGGGTCACCTGCTGAGTCTGCCCCTGCCCCACTACTGATGGTGCCGCCTCGTGCGCCAAGGGCTTTTGAGAAACATGGGGTTGGGTTTGCGGGTGAAAGTTTTTAGATTGAGAATGCTGAATCGGAGAATTCACAACTACTGCTTTGGGAGCATTCTGGGTACTCGTTTTCGAAGCAGAATTAGTGGAGACCGAGAATGGTTCCAACGATTGGGCTTTCTTGAATCTATCAAGACCGGCTCTGCCGTACATTTGAAAGTCGATATGAACTCTCTTACCTGATTGCGAAAACAACAGCACCACAACCGAGCATCAGTCCATCACAAATCCTGATTTCGCGTTACTTTTGCTGGATGCAATCAGAAACTCACACAACACAATCCTTCAACAAAAACCCTAAATTCTACTGACAAAATTACAAATTTGAGCAAATTTGAACTTGTACAAGAATCTAACAATAATAATAAAAAAAAAAAATCGAACTGACTTAAACCGATTAGATAGAGAACCGGCGATTGCAAGCTCGTTTAGATGGTTGTCGAGAAAATAAATCGCAAGAAGATCTCCGTAACCTGAAATCTAAGAAAAATCGCAGAGACTGACTGACCTGAGGTTTCTTCCTTTTAGGTTAGGGTTCAGTCTGGACGGAGGGGCAATCTGTTGAAGAATGAAATTCAGGGGCCAAAGGATACCTCAAACTCGCGTTTCCTTTTCTCTTTCGCATTCCGGCATTCGCTAGTTTTCTTTTTCATTTTCGCACGAAATAAAATAATACTTGCAATTGAGTCCTTATAATTTTCTACTCCCTCCTGGCTTGGTTTTTTCTGTTGAATAAAATAAAGATATAACCATTAATTAATAAAATTTTATATTTATATTTAATTAAGTACAATTTAAGACTTCATATTTAGTCCTATCTGTTATAATTGTCTTTTTAAAATAAGAATAAAATAAAAATAAATATATTAAATAATATTTTACAAGTAAAAAAATAAATTCTGTTTACTATAATTCTGATATTTGGTTTTTGTTTTTTACAAATAAGATATTTTAATTTTTTTTCAATAAGTGTTTATTAAAATAACTTAATTTTGAAATAATATTTCTTATAATATTTAAAAAGTAAAGCAAATAAATATCATTCCCTATATATATTTGATAAAGATAACTATATTTTGAAATCAAACTTTTTTAAAAAAACTTAAAATTTAATTAATTTAATCTAAATATAATACTAATTACTAGATATATAAAAAAATAAAAATAAAAACCTTAAAATTACATCAAGAATATCTGCAAATCTTTTTTTCACTTTTAAACACCAAATTCAATTGATTAAGATTCACTTTACAGGAATAGTAACTTAACCACTGATATCATGGGAAATTCACTTCATGGGCTGTGTTCAACTCCCACCAATCCCTTCTCGTTTCCCATCCCCACCTCCACCTTGGTTATAACAAATTGCCTAAGTTTTAAAAAAAAAAGGAAATTCAATCAATTGTGCTACGCTACTTATTCAACAGAAACATGAATCACAAATGTACAAAAAGAATACAGCATTTGTTGCAAGATTCAGGAATGAATGATGGTCTGCCGAAGTCTTGGATTTACATAACTTGGATTATAATTTATACATACAAAATTGAAATCCAAGAGGCATGAGGCTGGAAAAAATGCGTCTAGCAAGAGACCCTCTAAAGAATATCTGTATCAAGTATCAACCACTACAAATTTCCTCGGCTCCTATTTGAGTGGCTTACATCCCTACAAGCAAATTGAAGGAAACAACCAACACCTCAATGACCAGGACTGATATGGATGGGATGGTACTGCATCACTACATGCATACTATGGCTATAAATCAGCATTTCCGGAAAGATCTCAAAGCCAGTGCCTGAGGCCTGCTGCACTCTGCTAAAGATAATGGACTGAGAGGATGCTAAGTTGATGCTTCACGTGTATTAGCTCTTGGCAATAAATCAAGTCCCTATTGTTGGCAACAACAAATATGTACAACTCGCCAACTATCTTGCAATGAACTCTTTCTCGACAACTGCTAATGTTACCTTCAAGCGGTCTAGTACATTTACGAGGATATTTTTTGTAATTCTTTTCTGATTTCGTGTGCTTTTAAGCCATGCAATTCCAAAGTACACCCGTACCTGACAACAATTTGGCCTTGAGGGTAAGTCCTCGACCTGGTATCTGAGATGAAGCTGCAAATGATGGAAAGTCAATGGTCAATTATAAGTAAATAAATAATTTCTAGACCAACCCAAAAAAGAAGCTAAAGCCACACACTGAAAGGATACATTTGAGTACAGGTATACATACATTAAAATAATCCCCAATAGGAATACCATGGAGAGTCACAACTTCCTCAATAAGCCAACCATTTCTATCAGACAAGGGCAATTTTTGCTGAGTGCTTGTCACCTCTCCTCTATACCTTGAGATGCGTCTATCAAATCTATAATATGTTTGCCTCTCGTGTACATCAGCCTTCTCTGATTCCCATGGGCTGGAGGAGTAACTCAGACAACCAGCTCTGTCCATGGCTTTACGCTCCAATTCACCCCCACCAAATAGTTCCATGAAGAAACTAGTCTAAATGATCGAGAAGTAATTATAATTACTCTCACCATATGGAAAGATATGCTACAGAATATACATCTTCAAACAATAGAAAGAAATAGTATAAATGGATGAGCATGCACCTTTACATGTTAAATAAGGCAGTAAAAGATTGGAACTAAGAATGCCACTAGTAGGCAAAAGGCGCATATGTCCATCCGTTCATACAGACAGCATTCTCCCAGACAGAGAAAAAGAGAACTTACAGGAACAGGAAGAGCAGCAGAATAGACCTCAGACATGCTGACATCCTCAAGGCCTAAGAAGGACCCACTTTCTTCAGGTTGGAGGCTTTTGCCTTCTGATTCTTCTTCAACTATTTGCACTTTCTGCTCTGGTGTCAAGGATCTTGCTTTCCACAAAGCCATGATTGTCCTATTTAGCATAGAAATCTCTACGTCAACATATAGAGCAGGCTATTCTTTCGTTATTTCCCCCCTAATTTAAAGGCAAATTAGTGCTAGATTTTATATTTTTCTAATTTCAAAGCATGAACAACAATGGTTTCCTTAGTTTCCTATGTTTCTCACCCTAATCTCTCACCATGACAAGATTCCCTATCCTTGGCACTGCTTTCATCATTTGATGGCTTATGGATATAACATCAAGTACTTTGGGATGATGTCAGAGGAGAAGATGGGGGGAGGAAGTACCTTTTTTTTTTTTTTTTGAACTAGTACAAATTTGTGGGAGGGGGATTTGAACCCATCACCTGCAAAGGCTTATTGCCAATTGGCCTTCTAGGCCAAGTGCGATGGGGGGAGGGAGTTAGTAAAGAGAAAAAATGTATATCACATCTTTAGCAATAAAACACCAATTTTCTTTTCTGTTGCTTGTTAAAGTTGCTCATGTGTTAGTGCAGGATCAAACTCTTGCTAGGTGTTGGGTAATCACAATGGAAATCTTCTGAGAAAATAGTAATTTTTAGGCTGGACAAAAGAATAAAATGGGCAAATACGGGATTGTGGTGGCTTAGAAATTACATGCCCATGAAAATAACGTATCATAATGATGATTTGAAACCAAGCTGTTAAATAGATATCATAGGGAAGTTGTAAGGGCATCTTGTTTGCAATAATCACAAGGAACAATACAAGGGTTTAGTATAAATGAAGAAACATATAGAAAGATAGGGTAAGACATGATGGAAAAGAAAATTCAGAACTCAGATAAACTTCACAAATTAAATATAAGGGTTATATGATGCTTGTCACATACCGATGTGCAACACCAAAAGAAACAAAAGACTGGAAATGGAACTTCAGCCTGCCTTCTTCATCTTGTGTCTTAGCTCCGTGCCTTGCATCCATACCTCTGCCTGGACGGAGAGTCATAACAATAATTGGACTACCCATTGATGACAGAGTAGGGGCAACAACTTGAATGTCTTCTATGTCCTCCCAAAGAAAGAAGAACTTCGTCTTGTGTCCAAATAAATTTGCATGGAACCCAATTATTCTTGCTGACAGGAATAAACGACCCTAGATGGATACAAAAAAATATTATCAAGATAGAAAGCATGCATAAATGGAACTTGAATGGTTAAAATGTCATATGCAGCTTAGATAAACAAAATGATTGTCACAAAAAGTGAAATCAAAATGAAGCAAATTACATAACTAGATAAACCAAACCTGCAGTGGCATTTTTCTTTTCAAGTGACAAGTGAAGTCATTGATGAGAAATTCCTCTGGTGGCAGCCCAAAGAGCTTCTGAAAGGCTGAATTTGTTTGAGGAGACCTCACATTTATCTGCATATAATCCAATTGAACATAAGAAAATTCATTGGAATGAACAGAAGAGAACCATAACTATTAGATGGATTTCCAATGCGAAATTCCGGAGACCACCAAGCTACTTACCTTCCTTCCTACTTCTTTTTCCATCTTACTTAAATACTCTCTGACAACATTTCCACCTCTTGTATTGTCCAAGAACACTCTCAAGTGCAGCTTAGACTGGCATGCAAGTGCTAACTTTCCTTGTAGAGGAACCCAAACATCAGCTAGATCGGATACATTAGATCTTACAAAGTTAATCTCAGCATGTCCAAGAGATGTAGCTTCGTCAAAAGGTCCATCAAAATCATAAACTTCCACATCCAGCACAGAAGGGGGCTCATCCATTGCATCAAATTCAAATATTTCTGCAAAAGCCCAACAGTATCTATGAATACATTTCATTAAACTAAGACTTGGACCATTTCTGAGATAACTTTTGAAGGCAATAAAATCATGCACGACGATACTCAAATAGTGATTAAGAAAAACCATATAAAATTTACCATTCCACTGTGGATCTGATTTCTGGAACTTGATTGAGCTTGTTCTAGTTTGCCCATTGCAAGTGAATACCACATATGGATCACAGAATCCACTTGAATCAACTGCAGCTAAATTAGTTCCTTCAATCAAGGCAGCTGTTAGCAACCACCCATCTCCTTGTGCTTTCACTCCATGATCACTGCCTGTTCTCAGAAACACAGTAGAATAAAACCAAATTCGGATTGTGAGAAAGGAACATACAACTTGAAAAGCAGAAAAAATGCAAACTATAGGCTTAAAATAAAAGTGAAAAGACAACTGAAAGCATAAAATAGAATAGCAATGCCCCTGAAGGCTATCTGCGAATTCATTCCCAGACACAACTGAAGGAATATATGAATCATCATATGTACACCTTAAGTTTTCATTTGGAGGCAAATGGTATGGTAGCCACTGTGTTTACTAGCACTCATCACAAGTTGAGAAGAAAAATTATTAGTTGTGAGTATTACCTTTCTGTGCTCTAGCCTGCATGAAGCGTGAAATCAAACGCATTACTCTTTCCCCTTGAAGAACAAGTACACCACACACGATAAATTCACCAATTGAATCTGGCAAATCAAGCCCAACAAACTCTAATCCTTGAATTACGCTGGGTGCCACCAGCCATATGTGGACAAGCACATAAATGCCCATAAAGACTGTCAAGATCACACTAAAATTAGCAAAATATTGTGCTGCCAGTTTCCAATCTGACTGGGGCTCTGCCTGCAATGAAGCTAAAAGCTGCTCCTTATTTAACCCCATATCCTTTGAATCAACTCGTTTGACAGTCTCATCAAGTAGAGAGGCAAACTGCTCAAAACTATCCTTTAGACCTTGTCGTGCTCCATTTTCTATCATACCTTTCATCATGGTGCTCTGCAAAAAGTTCATTCGCCAGGAAATCACTAGATGTGAACATTGTTCTCCAGACTGCAGCTCAGGCCCAGAACTGATGCAGTAGAGTACTTCACACTTGAAGGTGCTTCCGTACATGACATCCGGAGTACTCACACTTGAGAAAACAGCAAAGGTCTTTCCATCAGCTTTTAGATATGTGTGCTCTTCAGTGGCTTTCACAGCCTTGAGTAATTTTGTTGCAGCCTTGACAAAACTAAATATCCTTTTCAAGGTCTTGCCATCATTCTCAAATTTCCATTGTCCGACTTGGAGATCTGTAGATCCCTGGGCATCCGCCAATGACCTTGGAAAAGTTGAATCAGGAGCAAAGAGCAAATAGTTGAGCTCTGCTGGCGCTATAACATACAATTGATCTATGAGGATTCCTCCTGGTAAATTACTAGGAGTTTCAATTCCCTGATCTTTAGACTCCATCAGCTTCATTGCCTCTTCAAAAGAAAGAGACGACGACTGCTCCTCAGACTTGTCATCAGAAACCTCAGATCTTGAAGTTTCAGGTATTTCCAAAGAATCAGTATATTTAGAGGAGGCATTTGATGATGAATCTGAATTTTTATTAAAAATTTGCGCAATTCGACATGCTAAGGATTTTTGTTGAGAAAACTTCTCTTCCTTGGAGAAAACACTATCTTCCTGCCGGAGAGGAGAAGGGAAGGTTGATGGAACACTAGAAGTCCTAGAAGGTGGATCGGGAGTAATGTCTCCACTCTTCGTTGAATATGCATCGTCATTACAAAAGATGTCCATGGATGAGTAGTTCTGAGAAAAATTCATACTCAGAAGAATTTCACCTGTAGGGATAGTCCAAAAAACGCAGCTTTAATTAGCATATACTCCACAGTAGTTAAATCATGAATCATGCAAACTGTAATCCTAAATTCCAACCAAGAGACATTAGAAAATAAAAGTACAATAACCAAAACGGGCCAAGAAGAGAAAGCATATAAATTGAATACCATATTGGCATGTTCCAAATAAGAAAATTTAAGTATGATCATCCATATGGGATAAGGAAATCTAGACGCAGAGATTGGAAATACATTACTGACAGAAATAATAAAACCCAGAAAACATATTGAACTTACAACATAGTTTAACGTACCACATTCTTTGTTCTTGGACCTCTTATTCCTTGGTTGCAGTGAATACCAGGCAGACGGAAGGGACTTATTCTCAGCCTCAAAAACCTTCGAAACAGGAATTTTGACCTGGCCTACAAAGTCATCACTGAAGTACTTATCCTCATCTAATATACAGATTACAAGCTCGTCATTCATGTCGTCCACCTTGAAACTGAATTCCTCTCCCCAGCTTGGATTCAGGGTCTTCTTCTCCACTTTGGTCTTGAACTTCTGTTTTCCTAATTGCAGCCTCACGTATGGATCACTTAACCCGTTTGGATCCGTGGGGGGTATGTTTTTGGCTTCTATCACACGAACCAACAACTTCATTCTCGATCAAACAACACAATAATTTCCTCCACAGAACCGTACAAAAGAATCCCAAAAAAAAAAAATCAAAACTTGAACGTGATCGTGGAAAATGACATTGTAATCAATGAAGGAGAGAACTGAATATGGGATTAGATTTACATAAATAAAATAAGAAATCTTCGGTGTTCATAATGTTGAAATTAGGAAAAAAAAATTGCAAAAAAAAAAATGTAGAGAAAATGGTTTTCGCGATCCGATAAAAAGAGGGATTGATTCAGAGAGACGAAATTTTAAAGAAAAAGAGATCGATTGATGCATGAAATCACGAGGGAGATTGAAAAACCCTAGATCATAAGAATGAAATCGAATTTGGGAAGAAAATAATTTGTGTGCAAAAGTACGTCGAGAATGGAAAAGCGGGGACGCTTTTCGCCCGCTTTTTCAACTCTGCAACTGCGCGTACCGTGCTTGACTTTTTGACTTTTTTTACGGAATATTGTAAATTTCCCCTTTTAACACTACTAATCTATCATCGTGTTACATCATTTGTGGATATATAACGTATATAAAAACGAAAAATGATTTTGAAATAATTTTTTATATGATTTAATGTGTTATTTAAATATTTAATTTTTTTATTTATGTTAAATTTATAATATTAAATATATTTATTTATTTAATAATATATAAAAATTAAATAAAAATTATATAAAAAAATTATCACTATAGTGTAATCTTATTAAAAGTATATATATATATTATATAGATATTATTTCTTGCTTTGAAGGAAACAAAAGAATACATTAATTTTATTTAATGGTTTAAATTTTATAATTTAATATAATTTTAATTATATAATATTTTTTATGATATAAAAACAAAGAGTTTTATATTTTGTAATTTAAATTATATCATATTGTAAAATATCATTGAATGGGAAAAAGCTATTAAGGTACCTATATTTATTTAATAATTATAATTGTATAATTTAATATAATTCAAATTACATAAAACTTATTGCATTAATAAAACACATATTTTGGTGGAGTAACCACTATTTTTCGGTGTTAATGGCAAAAGGGAACCCCCGAACTCTCAAAAAGTTTGGATAAAATGTTCAGATTTAATTTTTGAAATAAGAAATTTAAAAAAAAAAAAAAAAAAGATGGTTCAAATCATAAATCCAGATTTATTTGGGGAGAGACCTACTCTTTTCAGTTAAAAAACTACCACCAGTTTCGACTTGATTGACTATTAAATTAATGAAAAAAAAATTGAAAATCAAAAAGTCTTACTATTAGATTAATCAGAATGTTATTAATATTTTTAATGTCAATATTACTTAGTTTTTCGCATTATTATTTTTTTTTTTATGTTAGTTGCACAACAGAAAGGCAACTTTCTCTCATCATTTACCTCATTTCACTCATATATCATGCCATTCGAATTTAAAATCTTTTATTTTCAATAAAAAATTATCATTAAATTATTTAGATAATTTTTCATATTATTTAAATTAATAAAGTTGTACATAATAATTTTTTTTTGAATAAGGGAAAGACAGAGGTGATATCATTAACTTAAAGTTAATGTCATTAAATTAGGCCTTGAAGGATGATAATAAATTTTTGTTTGACCAGAGCAATATGAAATGAGTTAATTCTCTTGTGATCCTCAAGTTGACGCGCGGCCTTATTTGAATCTGATTGTCTCGTATTGGTTGATTTGGTTAATGCTTTGCCGTCTTTCTCCCGCACCAAGGAAAATCTCCTCAATCACATATATCCAAATTTATACGCTATTGACTTAAAATAATTTAGTAATTTTTTGTTTCAATAGAGCAAAAGATCCTATTTTGAGTAATAGATATGCATGTGGGGTGAGTGAATGGATGAATAAAATAGTATTAGGTCAGCCTGGTTTTTCTGTAGAATTTGTCTAACATTCAGCGAATAGAGTTGCAGATTGGGTCATTAAGGCTTCCCATTACTGGAAATGTCGGTCACTCACTAATTTGTGCAAATTGTTGATTTAGGACTTCCTCCACCTAATGTTGTAGAGTATCTTGTGCACCGAAGAGATATATGTGTGTATATATATATATATAAAAGAATTAATTATATTAATTTTGTGTTTGATTATGATTTTATATATAAAATGTAATATTAGGATGCAAAATATCCAGAAGGAAAATGAAAAAAAAAAAAAAAACCAGAAATTAGCCTTTGTTATTTAGGATTGTGTTTTTAACCCAAGAGAGGGTCGTTGTCCATTCCAATCATATAGTTATTATTCTTTATTGCATTTCCATGTGTTGACTAGAGAAACATTGCATGTTTTAAAACCCGACCCGATCTGTCAAATATCCGAGAAAAATCTGAAAGATTATTTAATTTAAGTCTTGCATTTCGGCCTAACGTGACTTTGACATTCACATACGAAATTTACAAGGCTCCTTTTCATCTAATAAAGTGATTGTATGTGATGTGCCTAGATACTGAGAAATAACTGAAAATGTCTTATCTAGTTAGAGCTTGAGATTCACCTTGAATCTTGAAATTAGTAGAAAGCTAGAACTATTTTTTAGGGGAAAAAAAACCTTGACTAAGAAATAAAGTGTTTGTGGTAAATTAAAAAATCAAAAAAAATTTTAAAAAAATTATTATGAACAAAATTTATTAGTCTTTAACAATAATTTAATAGTGATCATTGAAGTAACATAAATGTTATCAATTAAAGGACAAAATAAAGCTATATAATGAGTAAAACAATATATATATATATATATATATAAGAGTAAAGCAAATAGTTATTAATAAACACTTTGTGAAATGATGATATTAAATAATTTTTATTCAATTAATGTTTTTTTTTATCTTTCTAATTATTTGTTGTAAAATTAAGTGTAAACAAGTTTCCTTTAATTTAATCAAATGATGTCAACACTAATTATCTATATTTTCCTTGTCTTTCTCACTATCACTTGAAAGTAATCTTCAATAATAAGAAAAACAACTAAAATGATAATAAAACTATTTAGGATATAACACTAAAAAATTAAATAAAATTTAGGGACTAAACTTCCAATTTTACAAAAGCTTAGAAGAGGTCTAGGCCCCTCAGCCCCCCCCCTAGCTCCGCCAGTGCTTTAAACAGATTTGAGAAAGAAGCGAAAGATAGTCTTACTCCATAACATATCATCTGATGCGCCAAAATAAATTAATTAAGTTATATGGTACCTGCATTATTCAGAAGCAGTTTAGGCATTTGCTTAGAAAACCAGGAGAGCTGATGTCTGTGGCACCTAATGCATCAGTTAATCAATATCGCAAATTCAGATATAAATGAACTCTATTTATTCAATTCCAGAAAGCAAAAACTAAGAGCACCAGAACGTTAGTGATGCAATACAAGAAGATCGTCTTCGTAGTGAATCAGAAAAATAGACTACAAATCAGGACACAAGACTCAGAATACCTAACAAGATCCCACTTCCTGCAGCATGGAAATCAGCCATCTATTTCTGCCTCTTGTATATCTTGGCCAAGAAGGACTTCAGCACTGCTTGGACTGGCTTGCTAGGATGAGCTTCAATTGAGGTTATTAACTTCTCATAACTCTTGCTTTCAAAATCGGCAAAAACACCCTATTAAATCAGGATCAAATGTAAAAGAGATTAAGATCTACCAAAGAAACATGTAAAAGAGATGTAAGGAATGAATGCATAACATCCATAATGTTCCAAGGAAAAAACCAATATGCACTTTCTTTTTGATATTAAAGATTTTCAAGATCAATGTCAACCTCGAGATTAAGCTCATTGTAGAGAGCCTTCACGTTAGCAACATTAGATGGGTCTGGTTTCCCATAATTCTCCTGGATACAAACAACAATACCAATGAGCAAATCTCTCAATTTTTACACCAATAAGAGACTCAACATCAAAAGAAAAAAGAAGAATCCCAGTCTTACATATAATGCTTTCTTCTGATCTTCATTGCAGACTTCCAATGCTTTGACCACCAACCAAGAGCACTTGAAATCTTCTATATCCGTTCCAATCTGAAAGTTTAAAGAGCTGTAGTAAGAACTCCCAAAAAAATAACAGACAAATGGATACCTTTATTTTGAAATTCCACAATCAAACATCATCTATCCATCATGATAGATTCTGGACCTCACCTTGCCAATGGTTTCAGGAGCACCAAAGCAATCCAAATAATCATCCTACAGAAGAAAGGAAAAGCAGAAAGTTAAAGTCAACAATTTAATTCCATGGGTGAAGGAAGAATTAATTCTATACATTAAGGCAAGGAATTGATCTCAAATCAAAAAATTTGCGCTAAGACTCAATGATAAGAACTTAAATTACCAGAGCGTAGAACTTGCAGTTCTCACCTATCTTCTTCACGCAGAAAATGTTAATAGTTTGTCATGTTTAAGAAAATATTACCTGTACTTGGAAGTAGATTCCCATATCAACAAGAATGTTCTTCACATCAATATGGTTCTCCAGATTCTCACCCGACATAAGTAGTGCACATGCAACCTGAGCAGATATAAGCAATATAAGAAGCAAATAGTCAATATGATTCACAAACTTCTTATGGATATAAAGAAGAAACGCAATGCAATCATATTAGTTCAGTGTAGGTGTATGTGGTCATTGAGCAAGATAATCACTCAAATCAGAGCACTGAAGTTACAACTGTTAAAAGTTTTCTTAAGAAGACAGCATAATGAAAAGGATTTAACAGAGGCCAAGGTTTCTACTCACAGGAAGATAAAAAGAGTAGTAGGCAGTTTTGTACTGAACAATACGGCGGTGCCTGCATTAAGCTACCATTATATATAGATAAAAATATCATATAGAAGAGTTGATAACATGAAAATAAATTAAGAGATTAAGTGTAGAGCTGAGCAAAATAGACTGATGGCAATAATGACAGTTATTTATCCTGGTAACAGGGGCAGACTATGATTTCCTGCACCCCTTGCCACAAGGAATGATAGAAATGTTAATGGCTTGGACAATCTTTATAACCTTCAGATATTAGTTTCCACAATTCTTTCCTTCAAGTTTCATGGAATAACTATTTGCTAAAGCTAAACTCACTTTGACAATGAGTATTTGGATAAATCTTTTTCTCCTTCAAGAGTTGTAATCAAATCTATCATCTGCCCTGAAGCTGTTTGGAACTCCACCTAGGTAAAGAAAATATCAACAAGATTTAGCTTGGTTTTAAAATGAGGATTAAGTAATATCTATCCCCGTAAGTTACCTCGTTAAACAGATCCAGCAGATCTACATAGTAAGGCTTCCCTCGAAAGTGTTTCCTGAGAATCCTCCCAATGTGATTGCGAAGCAGAATTCCATCATTGACAGCAATCAAACCAACCTAGAACAAAAAATTTTAACAAATTATTGCTCTAATTGCAGTAGAAAACAAAAACAAATGAAAAAACAGTGCGCTCTAAACCAAAGCACGAACCTTTGGCAGTCTAAACCAACAAGGTTGGCCACGACGAGTGTGGGAGTTATCCATGATGTCATCTAGAACAAGGAAATATGCCTGAAGCTGCAGTTTTATTGTGACAAAACCATAAGATAAGAGTTTTAACTAATGGAAGCACTATTTGAATGACAAAAAAACAAAAGTTAGAACAGCAGCATAGGCTTTCATTGGCATATACCCATTCAACACACCAACCAAGAGCACTTGCAAGGAAAAGCTCTTCTTCAGACAGTTCTTTTCCTTCTTTCAACAATTTGTAGCTATCAATCACAGAGAGTCCACGGTTGAGCTTACCTAATTTTATTTTTTTAAAAAAAAAAAACAGAACCATTAATAAGATTTTCTACTCCATGACATGGGAAAATCCCACTTTAATAAAAAATGAAAATTAAAAAAAAAAAAAAAAAAGGATGTTCAATTACCTCCAGGAACATTGTAGTTCAACATCTGCAATAGATGATGAGATAGTTAGAGAAACAAACATGTACAACATAATAATAGTATGAAATACTTGCTCATCAATGTTAATAAACAACATTAAGATGTTGACTGCTCAACTGCAACTACTAATAAAATCACAAAAGCATGTATTTTGAGTAAATATCAGTTATCTTGATTTCCCCTTTCCCTCTACATAAAACTACTACAACAAAGTATATCAATCACGACGAGCAGTACTGAGTTCTGATTTAAAAGTGAAAAAACCGTAAATCAAAACAGAGGAAGAAAGACAGCATCTTGGATTAAGATTGAGAGTGAAATTGGATTACCCGTTCGACCCACTCGCGAGAATCATCAGTAAACTCGAAGGAAGGATCCTGAAGCAGCTCCGATTTGAGGTCGGAGTAAACTTTGAGAAATGTGGACTTGAGATCCGCCATTGCAGAGACAAGATTTGGGTTGTTGGGCGGAGAAAGAGGAGCGTTTGTTTTCGGCAATGGAAAATAGATGGAGGGAGCGGCTATATATTGGTGGGATTCTATACCGTACTTATTGACCTTATAGAATGGCTGTTTTCTGAGGACTTTGAAGTTTGAATATTGATGGGCTTCCAGTTGCTAAAAATTGCAGCTGTTGCCACCATCGCTAGATTTGCACTTTACTGAACTGGAAACTAAAGTCGTCTTTGATTATAGCCACCTTTTTATCACCAAAGAAAATAATTAAAAATTTATTATAAAAATTAAAAAGTATTATAAAAAAATATTAAATTTTTTAATAATGATTTATTTAAATTTTGTTAGATTATTAATTTTATTATA